AAAAAAAAAAAAAAAAAAAAAACAGTAGTAAAAGGTTAATTTTATGATTAATTATTACTCTCAACATTTTTTCTTTAATTTGCTCCCTGATTTTTAATAATTACCTTTATGGTGGCAATAAAATTGTCGAGGCTCCTTTTAATTTCTTTTGGGAGTGAATTACTGTCTTTTGGTGTGTTTGAAGTTCAATTTTGGCTTGTTTTTATAGTGTGGTTGAGTTGAGAAATGAGTCTAGCACGAAAGTTAGCAAAAATTGGGAGGTGCTTGGCTTAATTGTGGCTATTGGCAATTTACTAAGTATGGTAATATTCACCACTTATCTTCCAAAGCAATTAAGCGAGCGGGGTATTACTCGTGGTGCTTTTTGGTGAACTTATTCAATAATTTGGCATTTTATCGCGATACCCTTGAACTTGTTTTACTTTTTTAAGTTTGCCAAATTTCCAGCCAAAAAAATATATCAGAAAAAGACTTGTGCCTATCTTGTTATTCAGCCTGTCCTGTTCTTTTTCGCTAATCTAGTTAGAAGATTTTCCGTTGAGGAAAAATACTTGGTTAAGCCGTGAAAGAAATACATGATACCAATGTTTGGGTGAATAGAAGGGCAGGAATACGGAAAGTTTTTATTATTTGCTGTTGTCAGTTTTTTTGCCTTCTGATTAATTGCTTGAGGATTAGTAAAATTGAAAGAATTAATTTGCTTAGCGAAAAATGGGACTAAAAAGACATTAAGAAATAAAAAAATAAGTTTATTGTGGAGGAGATAAAGTAAGTAAGGAGTGATTTTTAGGAATTATCAAGTTAATTTTCGCCACTGGATACTTTTGGTTAGAGGAATTTGGGAAATGAACTAGTAAGACATTTATTTTTTGTTAAGTTATTTTCAAATAAAACAATTGCGAAAGTATTCAGAAATTAACCAAAATAAGAGTAATTATTATTGCCCATTCAGTGGTTTGGGTTTTTTTAAATTCCAGGTCTTCCACCTTCATTATTAGTTTTGTTTCTTGATAAAAAACTTTGGGAAAATAATGAGGGTATTTTTTAATGAGCAATTTCATTACTGGCTTGCTGAAAAAATAGTGGATAAAAAAACTATTGAGTATTATTAAGGAAAAGGAAATTAACATTATCATTATGGTATTATTTTTACTTCTTTCTTTTCATAGTCAAATAAGGAAAAGATTAAATACTAATTGGTTGACAAGAAAAATTAGCACGTATTTAACAGTTTTTTTTCGCTGATTTCTATCTTTTTTTTGCCGCAAACCTTTTATTAAAAAAAGAAAAACTACAAGTATTATATTAGCAAAGGTTATATAAAGTAGGAGAAATAAAAAAACAGAAATGTATCCTCTAACTCAACGGTGACGAAAACCACCACGTTCTTGATAAAAAATCGTTTTAATGCCCGATAATCAAAAGATAATAGTCAAAATTAAGGCCGGCGGGAAAGAAATTAAAAGATAAAATCCCCAGAGATTTCAATTTGGGCCGTGATTATGTATCTTTTTATTCCTTGTGGTCGGCAACTTGGCTTTTTCAGACACTTTCATAAAAAAATTTTCGCGAGATAAGTCTGGCAACTAGTTATTTATCTCGAATAATTTTAAAGTGTTAAAATAAATTGTTTCTCCTGCTTCCTCTATATTCATTTTTTTAATTTCAGCAATTTTTTTTAAGGTATGAATTATATTTTGTGGGTAATTAATTTTTCCACGTAATGGTTCGGGAGATAAATAGGGAGCATCGGTTTCGATAACTATTCTTTCCAAAGGAATTTTTTCAATTGTCTCCCCTCACCTTTCCCGCCACTTAGCATTTTTATAAGTAATGTTTCCGGCGAACGAAATATAAAAACCTAAATCAATAAATTTTTGGGCGATTTCCCAATTTCCAGTAAAACAATGTAAAATACCTCTGGTATTTCCTGCTTTTTTCACAATCTCATAAGCATCATCAAAGGCCTCACGAATATGCAATAAAACTGGCAAATTATATTTCTTGGCTAACTCTAATTGTTTTTTAAATCAATATTTTTGTTTTTCAATTTCCGTAAAAGTGCGGTAATAATCCAAACCAATTTCTCCAATGGCAATAATTCTTTTGTTAATTAATTGCTTTTCTATTCATTGTAAGTTTTCTTCTGATAAATCTTCATTGCTGTTTGGGTGTAAGCCCAAGGCACCATATAAGTCGGGAAATTGTTCCAATTGTTCGATTACTTTTCGATTATTCTCCTTATCATAGCCCACATTCAAAATATGTTTTACACCTACTTTTTCGGCTTGCTGAATAATTTCTTTTGTGCTCTGTTTCTGTTGGTGGTATTCTTTGTCGGCCAAGTGACAGTGAGTGTCAAAAATAGTTAATTTATTCATAAATAGGTTTTTTTTGTTTAAGATAATTTACCTTCCAAAATTAATTCGCTTAATTCTTTCGCACTTTCAGTTCAATGAGCGGTTATTTTATCCTTAATTTCGGGTGGAACTACGACTTGATAATCCTCAAATGTTAACTCCTTTGAAGGATTATATTCATCCTTTTTGACTAAAAGATTAGGTGAGGACTGATATTTGGAGAGTACTACCTTATCAATTCCTTTTTCAGCACAAGCAACAATTTTTTCTTTAAGACCAGTAATCGGCAAATTAGTTCCTGGTGATAAAATAATTTCTTGGTCGTTGACAGTTCCTTTCTGCTCTGACATTATTAATGTGCCGGTAGCCGCAACCTGGTTAGAAATAGGTTTTTGGCGAAGAGCACTTAATAAAGCCAAGTAGATCGCACTTCCGCCTGAACTTCCGCGGCTGTTTCCAATGCTAACGTCTCATTCATTACCAAACCTTTGGGCTCCAATCGCTCACAAAATTGATACTTCGCACTGCCGAGGACTAATATTCTTTTGCTATAAAGCAAAATTAACTATTTTTCTGACTTGGCCGCGGTCGCCTTTTTCGCTCTCGTCTCCCATTCCAAATCTTTTGTGAATATTGATTTTACTGTTGGTCGGAACTCTCCGCACGATAACTACTAAATCTTGGACTCGGCCCACAAAATTGTTGGTTTCTGCTATTTTTAACCTTTCCTCAGCAGTAATATTTTCATCATAAATTTGAGGGTTAGGCATGTAAAGTAATCCGTTTATAACTCCAACTCTCTGCTGGGTAGTTAAATCGGGTATTTCTGTTTCTGGTACTTGTCATTCTCATAACTGAATGATATCATATCAGTGATAACCTTTTTTTCACAATTTAACTACATAATCACGGGGAATTTTTCTTCATTGTGCTAATTCTTTTTCGTTGGCTCGTTCGTAATTGTGTTTGGAAAAAGTTGCGAGGCTCTTTTCATTATAAGGGCAATCGTCTTGTTCTTCCTGGGGAGGAGGAATTGATGGAGTTCCATCATTTTGTTTATCTTTATTTTTATTACTTGCCTGAGAAGGATAATTTTTAATTGAAAAAGCAACTACTGCCAAGCCACTTAGGGCAATAATTCCACTGACTATTAAAAATGTTTTTTTTTTTTTTTTTTGCTTTTCCATCAGAGTTATATTAATATTTTTAACGCCTTCGGTCGGCAATGATTTGTAAAAAAAATTATAAGAGTAATGAAAAAAGGTTTAATATTTTTGGAATCCGCCACTAAAAAAAAAACCATTCAGTCATTTTTAGGTGAAGACTATATAATATTTGCCACTGGTGGGCACTTGTGAGAGTTAAGGAAGACAGGCGTTTATAATTTGGGGGTAGATTTGAAAAACTTTAATCCTTCTTACGAAGTGATTTCCGAAAAAAAAAGTTTGATTAGCGTTTGAAGGAACTATTTGGCAAAAGAAAAAGTTTCGGTAATTTACCTGGCGACTGACCCTGACCGTGAGGGCGAAGCAATCGCCCAAGAAACTGCTAAATCATTAGGGGTAGACCCCCTAAAATGCCAACGTTTACTCTTTTATGAGATAACGCCACGAAGTATTAAAGAGGCTTTGAATAATCCTTTGACTATTAACCAAAATCTAGTGGAATCTCAACTTTCCCGGCAAGTGCTAGACCGCATGATTGGTTTTTGTCTTAGCACAATATTACAAAAAAAACTGCAGGCCCTGTCGGCTGGCCGAGTTCAATCAGTAGTTTTGAAACTAATCATTGAGCGGGAAGAACTAATAAAAAAATTTGAAAAGAAAAAACTTTATATCATTTGTGGCATTTGTCAGGTTAACGAGCAAAAAATAACTCTCAAACAAGTCAATAAGGCTGGTGATTTAATTATTTATAAAGAAAAAACCGAGGCCGAAGAGATTAAAAAAAAGCTGGGTTTAATTTTTCAATTAATCAACAAAAAAGAAGAAAAAAAGTTTATTTTGCCCAAGCCTCCTCTTATCACCTCTTTATTATTATTTGAAGCCAAATCCCAATTAGGATTTTCGGTGGCTCAAACTACCCAGTTAGCCCAAAAATTATACGAAGGAGTGTGAATAAGTGCCAAAAGAAAACAAGTTGGATTAATTACTTATCCACGGACTGACTCCCAGCGTATTAATCAAGATTTTGTGAGCCAGGCCTACAAATATATTCGGGAAAGGTGAGGCCCCAATTATTCTAATACTAGCCCTGCCTGAAAAAAAAAGGAAAAAACACTTAACGTTCAAGGAGCTCACGAGTCTATCCATCCCACTTATTTGAATTATAATCCGGACGAAATTAAAGATTCTTTGTCAGGAGAAGAATATAGTCTATATAAACTAATATATAATCACACTTTAGCGAGTTTAATGAGCCCAGCGCAAGTTAACAAGATTACTTATAGTTTTCTTAACAATAATTATTATTTTGCTACTAGCGAAAGGGTCTGTCAATTTGACGGGTTTTTGGCTGCTTTTCCCGAAGTTTATTTTCCTAATTATAATGTCAAGTTAAAGAGTGAGTTAGAAGCATTTTCCCAACTAGAAGCCAAAAAAATTGAGGTTCAAGAATATCAGGAAAACAAACCAGTCCGTTATAATGAAGGTAGTTTAGTCCAAGAATTAGAAAGATTGGGGATTGGTCGCCCTTCTACTTATAATCTTTTTGGAAGAGTATTGTTGAAAAGAGGTTATGCTGAATTAAATGAAAGGGGGCAATTTGTTCCCACTCCCTTAGGAGTTTCGGTTAACAATTGATTACAAGAAAACTTTTCTTCGCTGATAAATGAAGGTTATACTGCCGCTTTGGAAACTGAACTAGATAAAATCAGCCAAGGAGAAAATAATTATTACGATTTTATCAAGACATTTTGAGAAAAATTTTCTTTTTCGTTGGAAAGGATTAGTAAATAAATTAAGAAGATGTTTAAAGGAATATTCGACTTTGGATAAATTAGTTCACCAAAAATAACTTATATACTTTTTAATTTTCCCCTTCCCTATTTTTTTAAATATATTATGAGTAAAGAAGCAAGTCTAAACGATAAAGAAATCCCTAAAATCCCAAAGGAGGCGGACAGTAAATTTGTTCCTGGTAAGCCGCGACCAGAAATTGAATTTTTAGTTATCGAAAAAACCGGTAGACGTTGGCCTTATTGTGATGGTAAAAAGGCATTAAGTGCTAGTACTCTCACGAGAATTTTACGAGAAATAGAATATGAAGAAATACCAGAATTTATTCTTCTCAGAGCTGCTGAGCGAGGAAAGAACTTTCACGATACTATTCAGGAGTTTGTGCAAAGCGGCAATCATCCCGTGTTTGTTGATTCAGCAGAAATAAGTAAGTTAAGTAAGTTAGATAAGAGAGTTCATGAGACAATTAATTTTTTAAAAAAGAATAAATCGTTAAAACTTGGTCGTTTTATGGGTAGTGAAACGCTCCACCACGTTTTTTACAAAGATGAATTACTGGCTACCTACGTTGATTTAGAGTTTCACGATTATATCATTGAGTTAAAAACTAGCAATATTAAGGCGAATGAGAGCCCACTGGCCTTACTCATTTTTGAAATTCAATTACTTATTCAATACTTATGTACTGGTAAAAATGTTTATCTCTTATGAAGCACTGGCGAAGGAGTAATTTTTGATGAGTTTAAAATAACTCCTCATTCTCTTAAAATCCTTGACATGTTGATGGAATTAGTACGTAATGGTGAAGATTATACGCTGCAAATGAAAAAGGCTATTATCCAAAAAATATTAAATAACTATTCCATGCCGAAAAAATTAATTTGTTAGAATAAATTAAATTAAGAAAGTTTATGAAAGGTCAAAATATATGTAAAATAAACCAAGGCGGTTGTAATAATAATTTCCCGCTTTACATTTTCTATGCCATTATTTCTTCGATTATTCTCCTACTAGTTATTTTAATTATCACGTTAATGGTGAAAGGAAATTAATGTTTTTTATTGGATTTTTTTCTTAGTGGTAAGACAAAAATTATTCCAATTACCACTATTCCGCCAATTATTCAGCCAATCAAAAGATTATTATTTTCTGAGTTCTTAGTTGTGCCAGTATGAGAAGTATTGCCTGATTCAAGTTCTTTTCGGCTGACTGTTTTATCATTTTTCTTTTCTAAATATTTGTCTATTCCTTTTAACTCAGGAAAACCAATCAATGGTTTAGCAGAAGTTCAATTATTATTATGCTCAATTATTAGTGTTTCACCATCTAGTTTGATAGATTTAATATCTTTCTTCTGGAAATATTGAAGCAGAGTTTTATCGTTTAGTTCTTTAAGTTGAGAATTGGAAGAGTTGTCGCTTGGTTTATTTTCCGTTGGTTGGTCTTTTTCAGGATTTTCTTGGTCGTCCTTATATTCAGCAATAGCAATTTTATCAGACAAATTTACTTTTTTTCAAGGTAATTGTTTATTATTTTTCCCTTCTGGTTGGAATGGAATATTTTCAACTCCCTCAATTTGAAAAATATCCTTGTTTCTGTCTTGATTAAGAGTAAAATTTACTACTAATGGATGATTTTCGGGAAAGGCTAAATGAAACTTTTGACCGTTTTCTGTCCCCCGAAAAACACGAAATTTATCATAACCACGAGGATCATAATCAACCGCTCATTCTTGCCCTCCCTCATAAAGAAACAACTTGGGATTACTGTTTAACTTTTGGTCGATTTTGGCTTGTTGTTCTTGGTATTTTTGGGTTTCTTTTTCTTCCTTTTTTTGTTCTAAATTTTTTATTTGCTGAATTAAGTTTTCAATTTCTTTCCAATCGTTAGGTTCTAATTCCTCAGGAAAAACACCGATTCCGCCTCTTCCATATTGCCTTCTTCTTTTATATTTTTTACCAGAATCGGTTTCAAGAGAACCAAAATAACTTAATCGCCATTCATTCCCTCGGTATTCATTACAATCTTCCCCCAAGCATATTAACCAACTGCACCCTCCAAACCCATTTTTGCTCTTTTCCTCCTTTTTGGCTTCCTCTAAATCTTTTTGTAAATCCTCCTTGATTTGATTAGCAAGTAATTTTTTGTTATTAACTGACATAATGATATTTTAATTTAAAATAATTATAATTTTATGTAGAAGTTTTATTACTAACAAGTAATCTGTAGTTATAATTGTAGTAATAACAAAAAACTAACAACCCGCATTTAAGCCATGAGTAAAAGCCTTAATACTTAAAAATTCTTCTAAGTCCGGTCAATAGATACCTCGTTTAGCGGGCATAATCTTAACATTTTTTAACTGTTTAGCATTAGCCTCCCGCAAAACTTTGTATCAGCCAGTAGGAATGGTGATAACACGACTATCACTTAAATAAGCAGTAATAGTTTCCTTATTACATTCAACTTTTAAAATGGTTGGCTCAGGCTTTTCAATAGTTTTAATTAATGGGATGGTTGGTTTAATATTAGTTTCCTTAATTCTTGCTTCTCTATTGATTGGATTCATAATACTTTTTGATAAAAAATTCTTGCTTTTCTTTAATTATTTTTAAGATTTTACTTCATTCATGGGACGGAATATCATAACATTCGGCGATATCTAAGTCGTCGTTTAATCAGACTTTCATTTCTCCCTCTGTGCTGAGAACATGAATGTGAGGTGGTTCGTATTTGCTTTCATTGAGGTAAATGTAGAATTTATAACCTTTTTCAAATCAGACGCGAGGCATTAGTTATTATTTTAGTATTCTTTAACTATTCCGTTGACAAAAATTCCTTCTTATCCATTTTGATTAATTTTTCACCCGTAAATTGATAAATATAATCAACATATTGAAATATTTCGTAGTGATGGTCGATTACCAAGACTGTTTTACCTTTTAGTTTAGTGAAAATATTGCGTAAAATTTTCTCTTTCAAATTAGGGTGAACGTTGCTTAATATTTCGTCCAAAATATAAATGTCATAGTCGTTAATAAACATTTTCATGGCGGAAATTTGTTGTTTTTGGCCTTCAGAGAGGTCAGTGCCCCCTTCTCTCAACACGGTGTCAAAACCCTGTGGTAATTTAGTAATAAACTCGTAAATGCCAGTTTTTTTGGCTGCTGTAGCTAATTTGTCGTAGTCTTTTTGGTCGTGTTTGTTAGGATAGCAAACATTCTCGGCAATGCTCATGCGGAAAAAGGTTGGGCGATTAGTTTGGTAACAAATGTGTCGGTGGAGGTCAATGGTGTCTATTTTCTGAATATTACGTTCCCCAATAAGGATTTGCCCTTCTTTTAAATCATAAAGTTTGAGGGTAGTTTTGGTAATCGTGCTTTTGCCAATGCCATTTTTGCCGGCAATGCCGTAAATTTTTCCTTGTTGAAAAGTGAAAGAAAAACTGCGTAAAATATTGTGCTGTGGTCGTTTGGGGTAAGCAAAAACGACATTCTGAAAAACAATGTCACCATTTTGGAAAGGAATTTTGGGGGCAGGAGCAGTTGGCACAGCCCGAGTAGTTGGGTAATTTAAAGTTTTCGCGCTCTCGTTCGCAATGGTTAGGCTGCTGGAAAGTTCATCCAAGGTTAACATTGCTTCAATTATTTTATTGACTTCATTATTTAAACTTCTTACTGAAAAAAAATACCGGACAAAATTGCTGATTAAGAAAACAGTTCCCATTTTGGGGCTTTCGGAGTAAAAAAGGAGTGCCAAAGCCATAAAAAAAGTTGGAATGTTTGGAATAATAATGTACTGGGGAACTGCTTTAAATAGGGTGCTATACCAGAGCGATTTTTTGTTTCGGCGAAAAGTCGAATCCAGTTGTCGGTCAACTTTTTCTTCCTCATACTTTTCTCCCGAAACCGCCTTAATGTACTCCAAATTATTAATTCGCTCATAAATAATTTTATTATCTTCTTCTTGCCTCCTTTTGGCGGCCATATTTAATTTGCTGGCTCTTTTAAAGAGCAATATTTCAACAATAATTAAGACGGCAAACAAACCAAAAACAATTGCTAAGAGGGGCAACATTGTTCCTTCTTTCCCAAAGTTAAAATCAAACCTCAGCAAGAAAAATATCGAAAAGGAAACATAAATTAAGCGGTTAGGAATAAACCAAATACTATAAGCAATTTCGTCTAAGTCATCCGCAAATTGAGTAATTAAATTGCGAGAAACTTCTGCCGAATTAGCATATTTGGCCCGAATAAAATGACGAAATAAATCTTTTTTTAAATCCCGTTCGACACTATCATAAGCGTAATTCATTCAGTAATAATGGGTGAGAGAAAAGAGAGATTTCACCACTAGAATGAGAATTAGCATGTAGGTAATAAATCCCCAAATACTGAGGGCGTCAGTCTTAAATCAGCGCCAGCCAAAAAAATTAAATTCAAATTCGAAATCTTTTTGGTCATAAACTTTGCGACCTTCAATGCTGGAATCTTCAATTATTTTTTTGGCATCTTTTTTTGCCAAAGAACCATTTCCTTTTATTACTTTTTCAATTTTTTCTTTGACTTCTTTTTGTCTCTTGTTGGTTTCGTCCGCTTTGTCGTTTAATATTTCTTTTATCTTTTTTTTCTCAATTCTTTCTCCTTCTTCCTTTTCTACTTCTTTAACCACCTGCTCGCTGAGAGTTTTTTCCTTGTGAAGAAGCAAATTCTTCAAGTTACCACCAATATTAAAATTGACGACGGCGGTGATTACGGCTAGTAAGGCACAGAAAAAAAATAAAAACGGATTATTTTTGATAATTCTCCCTAAGACCAGAAAGAGTAATTTTATTTTGCTTTTCTTTTTTGTTTTGAGAACCGATTTGGTGAATACAGTGGAGGAAGAGGACATTCCGTAAATAAGTATATATTAATAATATTTTGCTTGAGTGAACAGTTTAGACGATAATTCAACTAAATAACATAACATATAAAATAATATAATAATGAAATCAGTATGACAGAAAAAGTAATCGAAGTCAAACACGTTAGCAAAAGATACGGCGACAAAACCGTTTTAAATAATGTTTCCTTTTCTGTCCGCAAAGGAACTATTCACGGATTTATTGGTCCCAATGGAGCGGGCAAAACAACTACTCTCAGTATTTTAACTCGTTTGGTCTTGCCAACCCACGGTGAGGCTTATATTGATAATAAATCAGTTAACCGCGACCCCAGTTTTAATCAACGACTAGGTTTTATTCCGGCTGAGCCAAAATTTCCTAGCCTGAGTGTTGAAAATTATTTATTAGATTGTGGTTATTTGCGGGATATTCCCAAGGAGGTAGTTTTAAGAAAACTCGCTGGTTCACCTTTGTCCCAATTTCGCCACCAAAATTGTCATTCCCTTTCGACTGGTTGAAAAAAAATCCTGCAAGTTTTTACTTTAAGTCTTTATCGGCCGAGAATATACTTGCTGGACGAACCTTTTAATGGTTTGGACCCGAGTTTTCGCCAGGACTTATTTAACAACCTAAAAACTATTCGTGATAAAGGCGGAACCATTTTAATGTCGACTCATATTCTTTCTGATTTACAAAAATTAGCCGATGATATTACGATGATTAAAAGAGGAAGAATTGTTTATAGTGGGGCGAAAACACCTGATATTGAAAAAACTTATGAAGATTACTTTATTGAAAAAGGTAAAGGATTATTTGAATTATAAAATTTATTGTTATGTCGCAAGTTGGAAAATTATATAAATTCTATTTTGGAAAAATCTGACAAAAAAATTGGTTGAGGATTCTCATTTTTACCATTTTAATTGGTATTGTTTGGTGATTTATCATTCCTTTTGTTGGAAATAAAGTGTTGGGTAAAATGTTTTCTGAGCAAGCTGGTTCTGAAGAAGAACGAGCAGAGTTAGAAGAAGAGAACAAGTTCTCAAATGTAGCAGGAGAATTTTTTGGCAATGAGTTTAAACTTAGAAGAGGAGAAAAAGAAAAGAAAAAATATATTGAATTAGCACACGTAAAGGCTAGGGGTTTTTTGATGAAAGAGGCAAAAAATAAAGAAAAAGGAAAATCGGAAGAGGGGAACAAAAGGAGAGATAGAGAAACAGCGAGTTCAATGGAAAAAATGTATACCCATATGTTTGATTCTGCTAATTTTTTTGGTCTTTCGTTCCCTTTCACAGCCGACAATGTTTTCTTTTTCCAGCAGACGGACGGGACGGGTTACGGATTTCCTAAACAAAATTATACTGAAGGAAAGGCCTTTTGGAAATTGCTTTTTGATATTGCTTGGTGAAATTTAACTGGCTTTGTAGTTTTATACTGGTTCATTTTCGAAGTTTTTGATAAGACCTTTTTCTCCCCTCGCAAGGACGGAGAGGAAGCGACAGTTTTGACTATGACTCCAGGGGTGAAAAGGAGTGATATAATTTGAGGGAAAATTTTAGCCTTTTTAACTTTCTACTTTTTAATTAACATTATCATATTCTTAATTCCCTACGGCATTTACTATTTCTGATTATCCCCCACAGCGAATATCTCGTGGTTCTCTTGTTTGGCTTTAATAACTGTTGTCGTGGCACCGCTTTTATTCTTTTGCTTAGTTTTTGCTTCTTACTTGTTCTTTGCTTCCTTAGTAGGCGGAGGGAAATGGATATTTGCTACTTTGGTGGCTTTTTTTCCTTTACTTTGAGGGTTATTAAAAGTATTTACTTCCTGAGGCTGACCTTATACAGTGGAAAGGACTTTCTTTGACCCCATTTGATTTACCGTCATTTCCTTAGTTTGCGGGATTTTCTTTCTCACACTTTATTATTTAAGGTATCAAGAAGAAGATTTAAACTAACTTTAATTTATGTTTAAAATCCAAAAACCAGTATTTTTAAAACTTTATCGTTATTATTGTGCTAAGTTATTAAGAAGAGTTTGAATAAGTATTCTTTGATTTTTCTACGCAATATTAATTCTTTTTAGCAGTTTACAATCTATTAAGCATTTGTTGAGTGAGGCTGACAATTGACAAACTAAACTAGCCATTTTTTGGCTCATTTCACTTTTACAGTTATTTGTTGTGATGTTAGTTATTAATCCCTTAATTTCTTTTCTGGTTGGACGAGGATTAGGTTGGGAGGAAGTAAAACAAAAACAATTTTTTCGAATACCCAAAATTGGACGGGAAGAGGATATTAAGGTCCTTATTTTTACCCCTAGTGTTACCCGTAAAACGGTTATATTAGCCAAGTTTGCTGCGGCTTTTACTTACTCTTTCATAGTTAATTTTATTCTTACCACTTTGCCTTTAATCATTTATTTTTCGGTTGCTGCTAATCTGGGAACGGTCGCCATCCTCTCTTTTTTACTCCTTAATGGAATAGTGTTTAGTTTAGTTAACTGTTGTTTGCTGGTTCCTTTTCTTTTTTATCAGCAAGAAGGAGGTTCTTTTTTGGTCTACCTCTTTTGTCTTGTTTTTTTATTTGGTACTATTGCTGCTGCTTACTTTTTGCGGGAAATTATCTCTCAATACCCATTAGTTTTTTGCTTGCTTTCGGTTCCTATTTTTGTTGTGAGCGGTTATCTCTTTTTCTCTCTTTATCGAAAAAAGTTTCTGAAAAATGATTTAGGTTAAAAATTATTAATAATCAAATTGCGAGTATAGTTCAACGGTTAGAATATTAGACTGCCAGTCTGAGGATACGGGTTCGATTCCCGTTACTCGCTCCATTTTGGCGAATATGGCGAAATGGTTAACGCACTAGTTTGTGGAACTAGCATTCGTGAGTTCAATTCTCACTATTCGCCCCATTTAAAATAAATATGGGGTTCTTTAATTTTGTTTTCTCCCCTCCAAAAGAAAAGTGTTTTCATAATTGAGTTCGGTGGCGTTGTTATTTCTAGCTTTGTATTTGGCTAGTTTTTTTGCCACCGGACAATATAATTAACAAAAATAAAAATTATTAAAAGTATAAGTAAGCACTACGCCTGATAGTAGAAGACAAGAAAATAGAGTTAGTGTATAAGTATAAGTATGAGTAAGGAAAAAGAAAGAGAAATTATTGAACGATTTACCGAAAATCTCAATCAAAAAGCCAAAGTCAACGAGTTGGCGGTAATTGGACGAGAGGGGGAAATTAAGCAATTAATTTATGTCTTGTCGCGAATGATGAAAAACAACCCATTGCTGATTGGTTATCCCGGAGTGGGAAAAACCGCCCTCGTAGAAGGATTAGTCCAGAGAATTAAGCAGGAGCGAGTTCCTGATTATTTAAAAGGAAAGGTCGTTTACCAACTTGATATGATTTCCTTAATGGCTGGAACTAAATTTCAAGGGGAATTGGAGGAAAGATTAAAAACTATTTTCAATTTTATGGCTCAACCAGAAAATAACGCTATTCTCTTTATTGATGAAATCCATTTAATCGTGGGAGCTGGCCGCAGTCAGGGAGCCCTCGATGTCTCTAACCTCTTAAAACCAATGCTTTCGCGAGGCGAAATTCAATGTATTGGAGCAACTACTCAGGAAGAATACCGCCAATACATTGAAAAGGACGGAGCCTTAGTGCGTCGTTTCAGCAATATATTAGTCCCGGAGCCCAGCCGAGAAGACACCTTAAGGATTTTGCATGGTATTCGTAATTATTTGGAGATTTATTATGAGTTAAAGATTTATGATGAAGCCTTGTTAGCAGCCGTTAATTTTTCGCAACGCTATCTCACTACTACTTATTTGCCGGATAAGGCGATTGATTTGTTAGACGAGACCTGTGGCCGAGTAAGGAGCGAAATGTGGTATGAACCCGAAATAATTGAGAAAACTCGTCGGAGATTAAGAGAATTAGAAATGAATATGGCGGCGGTGGAAAAAGATAAAAAAAATGAACCCGAAGCATTTAACCTCCAACAAGAAATAAAAAAACAGCGTGAGAAATTAGAAGAATTATTAGAATTAGACCGGAAAGAAAGCAAAATTATCCAGGAGTTAAATCATACCAAAAAAGAATTAGCCCAAGCCGAAAGAGAATTTGTTATTTATCAACAAAAAGAAATCGACCTCGCCAAGGCGGCCGAATTAAGATATCATGCCATTCCTTCCCAAAAGGAAAGAATTAAAAAATTAGAGGAGGAGGCGAGCCGTAATGTGTTGAGAAAATATTTTATAAATCGGGAAGATGTTGCTTTGACTATTACTCAGAAATATGATTTGCCGGTTGGAAGAGTCTTGGCCGACGAGCAACAAAAACTTCTTTTCCTTCCGGTTATTCTTCAAGAGAGAGTAAAAGGACAGAGTCGGGCTTTACGGGCTGTTAGTGATGCTATTTTTCGGGCTCGGGCGGGGATTCAGGACCCGCATCGTCCTTTGGCATCCTTTTTGTTTGTTGGGCCAACTGGGGTAGGAAAAACTGAAGTGGCTTTGACGATTACCGAGCAACTTTTTGACCAAAAAAAAAATCTTGTTCGTCTCGATATGACGGAGTTTTCTGAGCCCCATTCAATTAGTAAACTTATCGGCTCACCACCCGGTTATATTGGTTTTGAGGAACGACCACGGCTCGAAATTGTTCGGGAGAAAATGAATAGTGTGCTACTTTTTGACGAAATAGAAAAGGCCCATCCTGAAGTTATTAATATTCTTTTACAGATACTAGATAATGGATTTCTAACTTTAGCTAATGGCCGGGAAGTCAATTTTCGCAATACAATTATTGTTTTGACTACTAATTTAGGTTCCGAGTTGTATTTTGAGAAAAAGGAGATGGAAGAGATAAAGGAAGATTTGGAGTTCGAGTTAAAAAATCATTTCCGTCCGGAATTTCTCAATCGTCTTGACGAAATAGTTTTTTTTAATTCTTTAACTAAAGAAGTTATTGAGGAGATTATTAGCAAAGAATTGGAGTTGTTTTTCCGGCGCATCTGGCAAGAGAAAAATATTAAGATTAGGTGTAATAAGGAAATGGTGGAAAAGATTCTAAAAGAGTCCTATTCAATTGAATATGGTGCTCGTCCAATTAAACATTATATCGAAAAAAAAATTGGTACTTTGG